AAGACAGCGCAAATAACATAGCAGATTCTTTTTGGGATTTTATCAAGAATCTCTAAATACATAGCAGAAGCACCAGACCAGATGTGTCAACAATATTCAAAGAAAGGTTGAATAGTAGATTTATAAATGTATCCTAAAAGATTTTGGTGAGAAAAATGATCAAGCATGACACAGTGAACTGATTTTCATAGCTTTACTTTTCTGGTAGTGGCAGAACATTTTTTTTGCTACTCTGATCACAGGATTTGAACCTAATTGAATAGCAATATGGAAAAAAGGAATGGAGAAATGTAATTAAACATTTTATTACTGTTTAGCCATATTATTATTGCTTATTCAAATCGCAGAAATGCAACTGACCCCTGGCTTCACTAAAACTGGGCCCCTCAGCAAAATGACATTATTCTTGATATTGCACTGCTTGAACCGAGAGGACATACTGAGTTTCAGCAAAGATGACTGTATCGTGTCAATTGAATGGCAGATTCAGTTTCGAAATGAAAGTTTTCCTGATGAAATGGGTTGGAAAAGGAGGTGGTTCAGTCATAAAGATCATCAAATTTGAGTCAGATGGGGCATAAAATGTCTAATGTTTATTAAACAAAATCATTTCAGTTTAGATGACCTGCGATCAAGGTTTGTGTATGTAATGAAGGAAAACATGTGCAAAAGAAAAAATATGAAGATTAAATCTGTCTAAAATATGAAAGAAATTCTTTATTTACTCATTTTAAAAATAGACTTTACCATGTACAGAAATTTTGATATGAAATTTGAGTTAAGAGCTTGTTGCTGAATTTATCCAGTCTTTGAGCTGGGATCAAAGCATCGAGAAATGTAATTAAATCTTTTACTTTTACTTTTTTAATATTGTTCACACAATACAAGACTCAACATCCTCTCAAAGTATAGGGCTATCGACTGATTCTGTTATAAGTGCATAAGAGAGAAGGAAGAAGAAAGAGGTGCTTGTTATGAGGACATGTAGGATAGATATCAGTTGACACTAAATTTGTAGTGGTTAAGATTTTAGTGGTCAGGTAGAACCTGCTCGGGGGCCTGATCTACAGAAGCGAATGAAGATAATTTGACATTTGATATTTCTGTTTAGATGACCTGTGATCAAGGTTTGTGTAAATAATGATGACAAACACGTAGATGATGAAAATTATGAAGAATGAATCCGTCTAAAATATGTCATAAATTATTTATTCTTTTTTAAGAAAGAATTTAACACGTACAAAATAATTGAGTGCTGGCTGCTGACTCTAATATTCTTCAAATAGGGATCAAAGTGTATTATCTCTTCTCCTAGTCTATACCCTGTTTCACCTTATTGCATTTTTTTTAAATGATGTTGACCCTGTCCAAGGCCCAAGAGCCATTCACGCTAGAGGGTTACTGAGAAATAGGCAGAGTTTATGGGGATATGTGGGAAAGATAATGCTTAACCCTAGACTTAAACGGGTTAAAATTGTATAGATGGAGTCAGTATCCTCTTGGGAGTTGGTTCCACAAAACAGTTGTAGGCAGCCTAGTCCCAGGGATTCCATCACTGTGGCAACACCTCCCTGATTGAACTAAGGAGTAAAGAACTACTATTGCATATTGAAGAAACCAATACCAGCTTGACAAAGCTTGTGGAAACTGGGCTATTTTTGCCCTTTACCCCTTTATACATATTTGGGTTCTCCACGTTAGAAACAACCACTTGTTGCATCCTGCCACCATATTGGGTTAAATAAATGCCTAATTTTATTAAATTTGTATATACCATATATACACGCGTATCATACGACTTTTGAAGATCTAATTTTCAAGCTAATTTTAAGAGGGTCGCATCATGCGTAAGATATAAAATTAGCGTATGTAATGCAGGCCCTGGCTACCCCGTTGACCAAATTATTTATCCATTTACTGTAGTAAAAAAATACAGCTGTATTTAAAATAAACATGATTTTGATAAAACTGATGTTTTACATAACTGTATCCAATAATGCATGTAATATTCACCTATTAGCATCGTATTATAAAATAAAAAAACATAGCGAATATGCATCTTTTCCCTTGTTTACGTTTATAAGATGTTTAGCTGTTTCTCGTTTGTTTGTTTATGGCTATACGCGTTTACGCAACGAGTATAGCGTTACTAACGATACTTTTATCATTCTATTTTACTTTTTTTTAACTTATTTAATTAAAAGAGGAGATAAAGAGGGAGAGGAAAGGAGCACTATTTACATTATTCGGACTATTGTCCTCATCTTTGTTGCCATATTTATTACAACGTTTCGCCCATTGTGCGCTCCAGCCTTCTTCAGGTGTTTGAAATGTCGAACTAAACTCTTTATTTCGCTCACTGGAGTAGACTGTTCTAGTTCCACGTGCCGTGTCTTCATGGATGTCAGTTATCGTTATAGACAGATATTAAGAGGAAAAAAGTTTAGTCTATTGTAATTTGGTCTCTCAAAAAAGAATACACGAGATACATGATGAAATCATTTTTATAAGTGAAAATTTAGGGGCAGCACGATTGCGCTTTACACGAGCAGATACGGTATATATTATATAATATGTATAAAATCATTGGCAAATTAATAAGTCATTTGACCAAAGATGAAAGAAAGTATTTATTTTCCATAATAAAATGTTTGATTTTTCCAAGGTAACTCCTTCCCTGTCAATGTATTTAATTCAGCAGTGATGAATTTATATTATGTCATTTCTAATGCTATTGGTGTGAAAGTGAACGCAATTGATTGTAGGAGATTGTTGTTTTAAGATTAGTTCGAAAACTCATATTAAATGATACACGCATATACTGCAAATTAATTTTTTTTTATTGATTTCTTTGTTTTTTACAGTTTATCTTAAAACGAGAAAATTTTTTTGATCGTATTATTTTTAGATAATGATTTACTGATACAAGTCCTACTATTTAACCCATAGCTGGGGGAAGAGGAGGTGAATTCATACCTTACTCAAAGGTATTTTCATGTAAATGAATATAACAAAGCCGACTGGAATTTGAACTCGGCTCTGCGATTTTTCAATTCCGAACTGTCATCAATTACACCAGCTGCACATCCAAGATTAAAAAATCTGGTAGTTCCAAGTGGTCACCCCTCCATGTACTGATCAGACTTGATTTTGCTTAACTTCTGTGGTTGTTCAAGAACCAATGTTTTAACATGATATGGCCGTAAGCATTTTTTTTTTGAGAGAGTGAACGATTATACATGTATAGTCTTGAACAGATGTCCACATTGGCATATCATTTTGTTTTTAAATATCTTCTCCCAGAGCATTCTTTTTTCAATAATCACCACTGATTTTAAAGGAGTTCGAACCTGGATAACTCCATAACGTTTGTATCAATTTATTAGGTTTAGTAATTATGTAACTTGTCCTTTTTTCTTTCATTGATTTCTGATCAATTCTTCTTTGCCATCTCTTTCGTCATATCAATTCTCTTTAAATGTTTTAGTTTCAAGTCGTTCTTTCTTTCTCTTTATTTCTACCTTGGGGCTTTTTTTCCTCTCTTCAGGCCACTTTCTCATTCCCGTTTCTGAGATGAGGTATTGTAAATATTTACAATAGTTTGAGTTCAAGTTTTTAGCCCAAAGAGTTGTGTGTTCAATACCTGGCTACTGCAGTAGTGAACAACAACATGGAGAGTTGAGTTAAAGGGAGATAACTGAGACATCCGGAGGAGGCATGGCACTTGGAACTAGAACAATCTACCCCGATGGACAAAATAAAAAGTGCAGTTCGAAAAGTCACTTGAAGAAGGCTGGCGTGTACAACAGCCGAAACGTCGTGAATAAGGTAATAAAGATGGAGGCGACCAGCGCGAATTACTCCTTCTTACGTTTTGTTGTCTTTTCTTTCTCATTTTGTGAATTTTTCTTTCATTTTTTTAAGAATTATACGCGAGGTTTTCACGCATTTCTTGGTTAACACGAAGATGCTTTAATTAGAGTAGGCAATTCGTCAAAATCGAAAATTGTTTGTGGGGAAAAAAAAACATGCGAAATATTGCCACGGTATACATACACACACATATATATATATATATATATATATATATATATATATATATATATATATAAATATATACATGTATATATGTATATATATGTGCGTGTGTGTGAGTGAGAGAGAGAGAGAGAGAGTGTGTGAGTGTGTGTGTGTGTATGTGCGAAAGTAGTAATGGTACAGAGTTAGTATTTAAATAAATGATTAAATATAAAACATATACCATATTAACTAAAAAGGTTTATCAGTTTTATTGCAATTTTCTACTTATTTATGAGTATTCAGTTTTTCATTCCGAAATAACATCAAAAATAAGAAGCGAGAAAGACTACGCTCAACTGAAGGAGAAATGTGTGTGTGATTATCATACTCCTATTTCAGCGAATTCAGAGTCTTAATCCTAAATGAAATGAAAAATAAAAAGAAGAAAGACAACATCAATTGAAGAAGAAATGTGGGTGAGCTTATATTATTTCTATTTACGCAAATTCAGCTTCTCAATCCTAAATATATAAAAAATAAGACGCGCGAAAATTACGCTCAATTGAAGAAGACAGATGAGTGTGCTTATATAAATAATATTTATGCAAATTCACACACATATATATCATCAAAAATAAGAAGCGAGAAAGACTACGCTAAACTGAAGAAGAAATGTGGGTATGCATATATTATTTTTATTTACGCGGATTCAGCTTCTCAATCCTAAATAACATGAAAAATAAGAAGCGCGAAAGGCTACGCTGAACTGAAGATGAAATGTCGGTGTTCTTATATTATTATTATTGATGCGAGTTTAGCTTCTTAATTCTAAATATCATCAAACGTATGAAGCGAGAAAATCTACGCTGAACTGAAGAAGAAATGTGGGTGTGCTTATATTATTAACATTTACGCGGATTCAGCATCTCAATCTGTCATCTGTCCTTACCTATAACTACAGAATGAACTCTTCCTAACACTATGTATACTACGCCTCTCAAGAGAGAGGGACGAATCGTGTCGAGCTTCTCGGCTTGACGGTCGAACTCTCTGCCTCTGAGCAGAGAGGAACCCGGACGAGGCTCCGCTGAAGGACAGAGTCTCGTTCGGGGAGGTTGACAAACCCGATCCCGTTTATACGGGTTCTACGGGCATATTTTGGCCGAGCCTACGTGCTCGGGAAACTCACGTTAAACTCGGCCTTGTGCCACATGCAACCCTCGTGGTGGTGGGGGGGTGGCTACATACCGAATCGAGTCGAGCCGATAGTAAGTCACTCCAAACCAGACTGACAGTCATACTAACACCTTCCACATATTGTATTATTATTTCGTGTAATATACCTTCGTTATTTCTAATCTTGTGTTCGTGTTCTTCCTTGTTTCTAACATGGACCATAACAGTAGCGACGAGGATATTGAACAAACAAATTCTACGCGGAGGATATATATATATATATATATATATAAAACCTTTTTGTTATCGGTCGTCCATAACAGAGGCGACGGAGATATAGAAAAAAAACCCCCCAAAAAACCCCCAAAAAAACACAAGTTTTCAGGCAGATACAAAATTACGGTTTTAAGATAAAGGAAAATAAATGTGACTTCTTTATGAAGGAGATAAAATATCTTGGCCATATTATTAACGAAGAAGGAAGAAGACCAGACCCAGAAAGAACCACAGCAATAAAAAAATGCCGGCTCCAAAAAATTTAGCCGAGTTACAAAGCTTCTCGGGCTTAGTAAATTATTATTAATAATTTATTCCTAACATGCACAAATTACGCGCACGCCTAAACGAACTGTTGAAGAAGGGGAAAGTTTGGGAATGGTCATATAAATGTCAGAAAACTTTCGACAAAATCATTAAGACTCTAACAGCAGATTTATTTTTAGCGCATTATGATCCAAAATTGGAAATAATAGTCGCGAGTGAGACGAGTGTCTATGGTGTTGGGGCATGTATACTTCATAAAATATTGGATGGGACACTAAAACCCATCGCGCATGCGTCAAGAACGTTACTACCAGCCGAACAAAATTACTCGCAAATCGAAAAAGAAGCGCTGGGGATTATTTTTGCGATTACAAGATTCCACAGATATATTTACGGTAAATTTTTTACCTTGCTGGCAGACCACAAGCCGTCACTAACAATATCTGGATCAAAGAAAGGTCTACCTGTCTACACTGCTAATAGATTACTAAGATGGGGGACGATTTTATTAAATTATAATTTCAAATTGGAATATCTTCCATCAAACGAAATCAGGCATGCAGACGGTCTTTTGAGACTAATACCAAGGAAAACGGAGCCATTAGAAGATTCCGTAATTGCAGCTCTACGATATGAGGAAGATATTAGAACATCATTATGTAGTACAATTCGAAACCTCCCCGTCACATTACAGGAAATAAGAAACGAAGCAGTGAATGACGAATTTATAAAGGAAACGAAAACAAAAATTGCAGGAAAAGATAAGCATATTTCAGACAGTTTTTCGTTATGTGATAATGTTCTGCTATATGATGAAAGAGAAGTAATCCCGAAAACGCTACAAAGGCGAATCCTGAAGGATTTTCCCATGGGCCACCCAGGAAAGAACAGGATGAAATCCTTAATGCGAAGTTACGTGTACTGGCCAAACATGGATCAAGATATTATACATATGGTGGATAAATGCAAGGGCTGTTCCTTAGCAGCCAAGGCACCTCCGATCACTCATAAGCCATGACCTAAGACAGATCGACCGTGGTCGAGAATCCATGTAGATTTCGCAGGTCCAGTAGATGGTATCTACTACTTGATTGTAGTAGACAGTTGCAGCAAATGGCCAGAAGTATTTGGTTGTAGAAAACCTACTCCTGAGACGACAATAAATTGACTTCAAGAGCTGTTTGCTCGTTTTGGAGTGGTTGATTGTTTAGTCACCGATAATGGGACACAATTTACATCTACGGATTTTCAAGAATTTTGTGAAACTTTTAAGGTGAAACACATCAAATCTCCGCCATATCACTCAAGGTCAAACGGGCAAGCGGAGAGGTTTGTAGATACATTTAAAAAGAGCACTAAGGAAAGCGTATGACGTACCAACAGAAAAGGCTTTACAACAATTCTTACAAGTGTATAGAATTACACCGAACAGTACTACGCCATCGGCATTATCACCGGCGGAAGTGATGTTCGCCCGAAAAATTAGATCGGTATTTGACAAATTACTGCCAAAACAGACAAAGCAATCACCAACGTCATTTGTACCAAAAAGAAAATTTAGCCCAGGGGAGAAAGTTTTTTAAAATGTTCAAAAACCACACATCCTATTGGGAGCCAGGTACAATAGAAAACGAATCGGGAGCGTGATTTGCATAATTCAGGGTCCGAAGTTCTCGCATAAAAGGCACATAAATCAGATCAGAAAAAGGCTGTTAGAGGATTCTAACGGTCTACCTCGGGAAGAGGTGGAAGTAATGGACACAATATTTGACACATTCAATATGCAAAGGCCTCAAGCAATTTCAGAACCGCGGAAATCAAGCGGAAAAAGAAGAGTTACAGAGCCTTTAAAATATTAAAGACCCCTGCGGGGTAAAAGCTTGGGATGGGGGTGTCATGGGTCCTTACCTATAACTACAGAATGAACTCTTCCTAAAACTATGTAAACAACGCCTCTCAAGAGAGAGGGTCGAATCGAGTCGAGCAGATAGCAGTTCACTCCAAACCAGACTGACAGTCATACTAACACCTTCCACATCTTGTATTATTATTTCGTGTAATATACCTTCGTTATTTCTCCTCTTGTGTTCGTGTTGTTCTTCCTTGGTCCTAACCTAGACCATAAAACAATCCTAAATAACATCAAAAAGAAGAAACGCGGAAAACTACCCTAAACTGAAGAAGAAAAGTGGGTGTGCTAATATTATTATTATTTACGCGAGTTCAGATTCTCAGTCCTAAGTAACACTAAAAATAAGAAGCGCCGAAGACTACGCTGAACTGAAGAACAAATATGGGTGTGCTTTTATTATTATTAGTTCAGTTTCTCAATCGTAAATAACATCAAAAATAAAAAGAGGGGAAGACTACGTTGAACTGAAGAAGAAATATGTGTGTCTTATTATTATTTAGGCTAATTCGTCTTCTCATTCATAAATAACATCAAAGATCAGAAGCGCTGAAGACTACTCTTTATTTTCGGATGTTTATCTTCTCTGTCCTTAATAACACCAAAAATGAAAGCGCGGAAGACTACAGTAAACTGAGAAAGAAATGTGTGTATGCTCATATTATTATTATTTACGCAAGTTCAGCTTCTTAATCCTAAATATCATTAAAAATATAAACCGCCGAAGACTACACTGAACTGAAGAAGAAATGTGGGTGTGCTTATATTATTATTTTTTACGCGAATTCAGTTTCTCAATTCTTAATAACGTCAAAAAGAAGAAGCGCGGAAGATTACACTGAACTGAACATGTAATGTGGTTATGATTATATTATCATTATTTACGCGAGTTCAGCTTCTCAATCCTTAATAACATTAAACATAAGAAGTGCGCAAGACTACGGTGAACTGAAGAAGAAATATCTTTATGCTCATATTCTATTTATGCGAGTTCAGCTTCTTAATCGTAAATAACATCAAAAGTAAGAAGCACCGAAGACTACGCTGCCCTGAAGAAGAAATGTGGGTGTTATTATTATTTACGCGAGTTCAGTTTCTCAATCCTAAATAACATCAAAAATATGAAGCGCGGAAATCTACGCTGAAAAGAAGAAAATATATGGGTCTGCTTATATTTTTGTTATTCATGTGAAGTCAGCCACTTCTAATACTTTCGACCCAGCCTCTCAACTCCGACGTCTTACTGTCTGGATTGAGGTGTCTATTCTTTCCTAACCGAACTTTAGCTAATGTCCGTAGGTCCTCTGAACATCCGTAGATTGTTCGACAGTTCCACTGTTTCAATCCTGTTTCCTTCCCACGTTGTGTTTGTTTTGATCCAGAAAGCAGAAGTGATGTTCTTCCATTCACGGTTGACTGAATATGTCCCCGCTAAAAAAATTATAATGCAGCAAAAAAAAAAAAAAAAAAAAATAATATCTGCAGAAAGCCGGACAAACAACTATTCAATGATTGAATTGTTAAGGTCTTTTATATAGCAGAAAAAATAGTATAGAAAAGAAACGGGTTACAGAAAAGAAAAGTAATTGACGTAAAAACGAGTACACTGGATTCTCGATAGAGAGTGAGAGGGAGAGAGAGAGAGAGAGAGAGAGAGTCTGTGTATGTTATGTTTAACTTGTTAAATCTTCTCAGAATGATATACGACTCGTGCGATGGGGGAATATGATTTCTGTTCCCTGTTTAATGTTTATAGTGGCGTTCATCCTTAACAGTAGTAACAGTAGTAGTAATATTCATGGTAGCAGAAGCAGCGGTACTTATATCAACAGTACATGTTAGCGGACGCTTCGTTCCAATCTCTGACTTCACTTTCTCTCCTTCTTGAATGTCTAACTCGACTCTCCACTGTCTCTAGCCCAACTCTTGCCCGGGCTAATTCATTTCTGTCTTCCTCTTCCGTCTTCCTCTTCCGTCTGCCTCTCTTCCGTCACTCTCTCTTCCGTCTGCCTCTCTTCCGTCTCTCTCTCTCTCTTCCGTCTCTCTCTCTTCCGTCTCTCTCTCTTCCGTCTGCCTCTTACGTTTTCCTCTTCCGTCTGCCTCTCTTCCGTCTCTCTCTCTCTCTTCCGTCTCTCTCTCTTCCGTCTCTCTCTCTTCCGTCTCTCTCTCTTCCGTCTGCCTCTTACGTTTTCCTCTTCCGTCTGCCTCTCTTCCGTCTCTCTCTCTCTCTTCCGTCTCTCTCTCTTCCGTCTGCCTCTTACGTTTTCCTCTTCCGTCTGCCTCTCTTCCGTCTCTCTCTTTTCCCTCTACCTCGTTCGTCTCTCTCTTTTGTCTGCCTCTTTTTCAGCATAACTACGCATTTATATAGAAAAACCCGGCTGGTCATAACCGACCCTTGGCCCTACTATTTCCCAATAGATTATCACGTGGTTATGGCTGTTTCAACCAAAATCATGTGACTTCTTAAGGTCCTCCTTGCTTACTCAGCTCTATTCCAAGTTTTAATCAATAAAAATTAATTTGTCCATTTCCATTGTCCTCTGATGACCAAGATTCAATTGTTACAACTTCTGCCCTACACCAGGTTTCACCATCAGTAAACAAAAATGCTCTAATTTCGCTAAAAAATATACATGCGTGTGTGTGTGTGTGTGTGTGTGTCTGTGCGTGTCTGTGTGTGTTTCCCAGACTCTCTCTGTCACATTTCCTTCCCTTCCTCATCTGCCATTTACTAGAAAATGATACACAAACTTTCATATCAACAAAAGTCCTTAGTTCTTCTTAGGGCTCATTATGCCCATTTGCATTTTCATTATCCTTTCGACACATATGTATATGCAACTTCTGGTTAAAGTTCACTGTTTTGGTGTTCTTGTGCAATAGATTCTTTTCACATAGTTCACTAGTTCGAGTGTTATTCCCCACTTTTTTTTTTGAAGTTCGCAACACTCCTAACCAATTATTTCAGTCTCATTGCTAAAAATAAAAAAAAAATCGATTTACTGCGTAAATCTGTTCCTCCGATTTTGTCTTGCCTTCACAAAAGGCTTTGTCGAATCTTTTGTTGGTTCCGGTCCTTCCACAATAATCGTGGACACTTCTTCAATATGTTACGGGTTCCAATGCACTCGGGTCGGACCTACCTTGGTAATGTGCGCCAACTGGAATCCCTCCTTCACTCATGCACTCCCGTGCCAGTTTATTCTGCCCGGTCGACAACACCACACGCCTCTTCAACCACCACCAAGCCAGCAAGGCCACGACTATCATTAGTATAATTCCCACAACGGTCGGCCAGGTTATTATAGCAACCCAATTCTCTCTCCGGCCTGAATTCGGCGTACCTATCTTATCTACCTCCGACTTCAACCGTCCAAGGTCAATCTTATCGATTGGCTTTAACAACGCCGGCATCATTTCTAGCGACATCTTAGGAATCTCTCTTAGAATGTGGTTTCCACAATCCCGTCCATCCACTGGTATTCTTCCCTACCAGCTCTAACAAAGCCTCATTCTCTTCAAACTTCTCTTCTGCTTGGTAGTAGGGAGGTAAAGAGATAGATGGACCATGAGCTCCACAACCAATTGGTAGCTCTATGAAAAACAAAGGGGGAATAACTCTTATCGTAGTGGTGGGCTTCCTTTCACACACCTTTGATAATTCGATCTCTTCTTGTGTGACCACAGTCCAAATTCCGTCAGAGTCACTGTTTGCTTTAGGTAACATTACACTAACCAACACCTCTACCTTACAATGATCTTTAATTCCCTTCTTATTTTTCTTAGATAAATCTAGTATACACAGATTGTGACTATCTGTCACGTAAATTGAATTTACAAACCCACAGATACCTAAGGCATCATTCTTGCATTTTTCTGCTTCTCCCTTTGTTAATAGCATAAACTCTGTCCTGGCTAGGTTTCGGGCAACAAATTCCGTCTCTACCTTGTACCTAGCCACCGCTCCTATCTTCGGCCTTACTTTTGGATAGGGGAAGATTCATCACCTGATAAATTTCAAAGGTAATATCTCTGTCCAGTAATGGAACCGACACTAACACTAGCAATTTGTCATCTTCCAACAAGGTAGTACATCCCAAGGCACTAAAGTACCTCCATAACTGCTGTGTGGGGTCTACAGGTAATCTAAGATGATGGGGTAGTTTGTCATATATCTCCAGTAGTACTTCCCTTAATCTGGCGTTATTATACTCGGAGACAGGTGTCCCAGCGGTAGCATGTCTAGTTGTGCTCTCACATGATCTAACAACACCGTTAAAGAGCGACTTGTTTGACGTACCTTACTCATTACAGCTAATAGTTGAAAATACATTTACAAAACCCCCTCTAATTTCTGTAATTCGGTTGTTTATCACTTCTTTTCTAAAAACCTGTAGGTGAGAAATCAACCAATTGATGCTCCCTCCATTCTTAGCCAATTCCAGCCTAGTAACATTGAGTATAGATGCGCTCTCTCGAACCAACTGAGCCATTGCTTGTTGTCTCTGTTCTACAACCTTTAATTTCCTCTTAATTACTCTCACTTCATGTTCGGAGACTGTACCAAACAACACGCTTAATGCCTTTCCCATTATAGGTAATACTGCCCTCTTTTGCCTGGTCTGTAACAACTTTATTCCTTTCAAATAGTAACTCATATCCTTACATTGTCCTTCAAGTATTAGGGATTTCTGAGCTAAGGGGTATAATATATGGTGGTATTCCGGAGTCTGTAAATAGTCTCCAGCGATTTGTGTCCTGGCTGTATCTAGTTTGTCCACTTCGATCTCCAACTGACCCAGTAACTTCTCGTACGGCTGCAGGTCTATCACGAAAGTTATCAACCACTTTGATCTAGTTATAATCACTTCGCTTGTCTTCTTAAATACAGTATTCTCACTGTGGTCCCAGGTATTAGCTACCACAGCTAGCATCGTCAGTACCATGAGCCTCCTCTCGTCCATGTCTGCAAAGAGATGGAGAGAATAATTTGTCTTATTCAATCATTCTCTTATTGTTTTTAACGGGTGGTTACATCTTAGAGCGATACCTCAAGCACCGACCCACACCAGCGCCTTGCATGCATGGGTAACGTCCTCACAGTTCACCAGGACTGATGGCAAATGCACAGTTAGTTCCAGACTATCACTCATTCACCACAGCCACTTAAGCCTTGGGCTCGGGCTGCACCGCTCCCCTGAATCGCCGTTTTAGTGGTAATTCCTCATTAACACTAGGTGCTTTTTCAGCCCGCAATTTATTCTGCAATTGAGCTAACGGAATTTCATCCTCTTCTTCCCATTCACTCAGTTCTTCTTCTTCCTCCCTAAGGTTAGGCTCAATCCCTGCTTCCTCAGAATGACCCTGCTGGGGTCCGATTTACCTCCCTCAGCCTTCGAAAGGTAGTTGGGCTAATTTCAATCTTCGCACTCCCTTCACTTTCACTCTCAGTCTCTAACCCTTCAGGTTCTACCAATGTAGATTTCCTAGCGTTTTCTGTTCAGTTTTGTTTCGGCTCCTTTCCATTCTCCTATTTCAGCTAGCTTTATATCATTCGCATGCACTCTCTTTACCTGTCCGGTTAATTGGTCCCAGATCACAAAGGAAACCGGACCTGTCTGCTCCACGATCCTATAGTATAGACTCCATCTCTGGTCCAATTTACCTTCTCTCATGTGTATTTTATAATACACTGGATCACCTATCTGGAAGGAAACTTCTCTATTTTTATTTACCCTATCGTTTCGCCTTTTCTGGGCTCTTTGAATCCTCCTCCTTACCTGCGTAAAAATTTTATGCTGTTGTTCTAAAACTATTTGGTGATGATCCTCCCCTAAATACTTCCTCCTAGGTCGTAACAGATTGTCTATAGGTAAGACTACATCCCTGCCATGTATCAAGTAATAAGGGGAAAATTTTGTCGTCTCGTTCATCGAGTATCTCACAGCTGCTAATGTTTGGGTTACGAATAAATCCCAATTTTCCCTATTATCCTTTGTTAGTTTAGCTAACACATCAGCAAGGGTCTTATGAAATCTTTCTACCTTAGCGTTACTTTGGGGGTGATATGAAGAGGTGGTTATGTGTTGTATGTTTAATTCTCCCAACGTCTCTCTCATAATCTGATTCCCATTCTCCGATCCATTAACGTTAACCAACTGTTCGGAGGCCCCATACCTAGGGAATATTTCGTTCAGTATTATATTTGACACCGTTCGTGCCTTCTTATCCGGTATGACAAATGCCTCAGGCCAATTTGTCAGCCAGTCCACAAAACTCACGATGTAAAGATTACCTCTGTGTGTTTCTCCATAGGGCCCGGAAATATCCACGCTTACTTTCTGAAATAGATAATTCGGATCATCCTTTTCTAATACGGGGACAACCCTACTCCTTCAACTTTGTACTTAGCATGTTACACATTTTTTACATGGTTCACAACATCATTAATCAACTTAGGCCAGTAGTAATTTCTCATTATTAATCCATACGTCTTATCAATTCCCAAGTGTCCTAACCTCCTATGGCATTGGTCTAGAATTTCAGCTCTCAACTTCTCAGGTATCACCATTTTTAAACTTACTTCCTCATCTCTTCCTGAAAGATAATACAACACTCCATCGTGCACCATATATTTGAAGGTACGTCCTGCCTCTAACCTGGACCTGATAGTTGCTATCTCGCAATCCTCTTGGTTTTGCCTAATAATATCTTTCCAGTGAAGGTCGGAAACAATATCTGTTTCACTCGTTTCCTGATCTTCCCAACCAAGTCTCTCCTTTACCGCCTGTGAATTGATCACATTAATTTGGAATACATTATCATCCACACCTGGCTCCAACTTGACAGATTCGGTCTCTAATTGCCTCAGAATCCTCGATAACAGGTCAGCACAGGTATTATCCTTCCCTGCTAAAAATTCTATTCTGCAGTTATACCCCCACTTAATTTCAATGCCCACTGCTGTATCTTCTTATTCGCCCACTCCGCCTCGAACAAATATTTGAGGGGTTAGTGGTCTGTTTTAATGGTAAACACAGCCCCACTCAAATAATAATCTAATTTCTGCACAGCATACAGAATGGCGAACACCTCTTTTTCTGTTACTGGCCACCTTTGCTGCGTCTCGGACAGCCGATGAAACAGAAAATAGATCGCCACTTCCTCAGGCACACCCGGTACTGGTCCATCCTTATCAGGACATGGTTGTGTAAGAACCGCCCCGATACAATTATTGCTAGCATCGGTGTACAGCACCATGGGCTTACTCAGGTCTGGGTAGGCCAACAGGGGTACAGCTGTCAGCTGATCCTTTAGAGCCTCGAATGAACGCTGACAATCCTCGGTCTACT